ATAAAAGCTCCTCGTGAGCTGCGCGGTCCTGCACATTCCTTATCTTCCCTTCCCTAAGCGAGGTTCTCCAGATGCGTGCAAGGCACATCTGGCGTCTGGGAGATCAGCCTGCCTCCCTTATTGCCTGGGGAGCCTGGGAGGGTTGGCTTTCATGGCCTGACCCTCAGTTTCCTGCCTGTAAAATGGGAATAAATGATCCCTATCTATTCCCAAGGCCATTGCAACTGCAAAATGTTCATGGTGGTGCTAAGGGGGTGCTGGTTCAGGGCAGAGCCCAGGCCCGACACCCAGGGCCCGCTCACTGCCCCCCAAGGGAGCGATGTCACCTCCCCAACCTGTCTCCAGGCGCCTTCAGACTCTCTCCAGCTCAGACCCTTGGATGGAGCGTTGGGTGGGTCCGGGAAGCGGGGTTTGGGTGCAGAGAGCTGTCCGCAGCTTGGTGCTGAAGGGAGATGCCGGGGCGCCCCTGCACGGCCCTAGCGCCCTAACCATAACCCTAACCCGGGGAGGTAACTTTTTTGTCTGAGAAGTCCCTGGGGGCGTGGGGCCAGGCTGCCCGAAACGCCCTAGAGGCCGACCCGGAGGGCGTCGTTGGCCCTCGCAGTACAATAGAGGCAGGACAGGCAGGCCTTGCCCCTCCTCTTTCCACTCCGACCTCCCCACTACCCCAGGGGCGTCCTGGCTCCGCGATCGTTGTCACTACCACACCGAATTCTGAGATGCCTTTTAAAAAATCATTAGGAGCCTAAGAATAATTACCGAATGGGATTGTAATTATGGGATGGGGGAGGCCGGGGAGAGGGAGGGGGGATGAGCAGGTGGAGGCTGGGGTTGGCTCTCGGACCGGGACAGAAAACGGGTTCCTGTTTATTAGCTCGGAGGAAAGTGTCTCGGTGCCGGGGAGGGTAAAAAGCGGTAGAGTTAGAGCCGGACAGAGGGAAGCCTGAGAAAGACGCACTAGCAGAGGGACCAGAGGCAAAGAAAAGGACTGAGCAGGCTCTGAAAGAAAAGAGAGACCGGCAAGGAGATCCAGGAGAGAGAAAGCCTCGGAAACCGAGGGAGGTGAAAGAGCAAGAGGCCGCTCTAGAAGGGACCCCTCAGGGCCGACAGACCCCCGAAACTTGGGGGGCAGTTTTTGATAACGCGTTAGCCAAGGGGAGGGGGTGACAAACGAGTCAGGCCAGGCCCCCTCTCTCCAAGGGCAAGGCCTGGGCAATCCGTTCGCGCCCCCAGAGGATTCTCCTAGAGTCCCTGGGAACCGGGGCGAGGGACAGGGGGTTGGGGGTGAAGAAAAAGCTAGAGGAGAGAAGTGGACTGATAAGCGGGAGGAGTGACGAACCCCAGAGAAGGCCTAATGCAGGAGGGGAGAGGGCTGTAACCCAGAGCGAGAGGGAAAACGACGGGGCGGGGGTCGAGGGCGACCCCGCGCCGCCGGCCGCGGAAGATTTATGGCGCCGTCCGGGTTCCAAGGGCGGGCTGCGCTAGCCTACTGCCAACGTCGGTAGCCGCAGTGGCCGCTGCGCCCCCTGCCCGGCCGGCCCGCTGCGCCCCGGGCCATCTTTGCCATTATTAACTTCTGTTTGATTAGGGTAATTGTTCAAACTTAGGCTGGACAGTATGATTAATTACAGTTTAATTAACGTGTCCATTAAGGACACTTAATGCCATGGGGGGTGCGAGGGGGCACCCGGGTATGAACAAATAGGGAGGGGGTGAGCCTGGTAACTCAAATGAAGTAGAGACGGAGATTGAAAGGGAGAACACGGTGACCCAAAGGGGTAGTGGGGGGGGGGAGAATGGTGAAGACAGAAACCTACAGGCAGAGAGGGGAGAGAAGGGTGGAGAGAAATGGAGCTTTGGAAAGAGAAGATGCCAAGGGGTGGCTGTAGCATCAGAGGGCTAAACCCATACCATGGGGAAACTGAGTTAACTGGAGAGCTGGAGACTCTGCTAGCAGCCACCTAGAAAGTAGTTGATGCTGCTGGGAGCAGCGATGACTTAATTCCTACCCTGGGCAGGTCGTTGTGGGAAGTGGGGGGAGGCGATCAAGATGGGGGTGTGTGTGGCCCAAATCCAATTCCACTGCTTGGTGAAGGAGTCGTCCCTCCCCAGGCTGGAGCTGTCCTAACGCCTTCCAACCAAATCAGAAGCGGTGGGGAAGTTGATTCTGCGGCTTCCCAACTACCCCCACCCCCCACACACACACACACCACGGCCCACACCCTTATCTCAGCCCCAGCTGGCCGCCGCCGGTTACCCAGCTGGCTCCCCACGGCCACGCTCGGGCTCGCCACTGCTTTGGCCCCGAAGTGCGATGTCCTTCCCCGCGCATCTTCCTTCAGAGCCTTCCTCAGCCCCGTCATCCGGCCTTGGCCCAGACAGCTCCCGGCCCCTAGGCGGGGAGTGCGGGGCCCTCCCCACTTCGTCCTGGGAGGCAAACTTCGCGGCCCTGGGCCCTTCCTCCCTCCCGTCCCCTTTGGCGAGCGTGGGCCGCAGGTGCCGGGCGCGGGGCGCAGGTGTGCGGCCGCTTACCTGGGGCGCGCAGGCCCGGAGCTGCAGGAGGCGGCGGGCGCGGCGCGTGGCCCGCGGGCTAGAGGACCCCGGGAGGGCGCGAGTGGCTGCGCGGGCGGTGGGTGTGGCGCCCCGGCTCGCAGCTGTCAGGCGCGCCCGCCCCGCGCCGGCCTCGCCACTCGAGCTGTGACCGCGCCGCGCCCGTCGCCGAGCCATGCGCTCCAGGCTCCGGCCTCCGCTCCGGGCCCGTCCGAGGCCTCGGGGGCAGCGGCGCGGGGCACACGTCTCCGCTCCCGGGGCCCCGGCGTCGGGCGCCTGCTGAGAGCCGGCGCCGCGCGGGAGGGGCCAGCGGGGCCGCGGGTGTGAGCGCGAGGAGCCCGGGAGCGCGGCTGTGCGCGCGCGCGGGGAGGGGCCGCGCCGTCACCCGGAGAGCCCGGCGGATCCCGGACTCCCGCCCGCCGCTCCGCCCGCCGCGCACCTCCTCTCACCGCTCGCCCGGCTCCAGCCGCCGCCGCACGGTGAGTACCCGCGTCTGGCCGCCCGCCACCCCCGCGCCCTGCCCCTGCAGCTTTTTTCGTTTAGTTCCGATTTGGGTTCTTGCGGCTGTTGTTTTTATTATTCTACCTAAAGACTCCATCCCCTCACTCCCACTGCTGTCCGCCTCCCGCCTGGTCGCCCCCTCCAGGCTCACCCCTCACACCCCAGGAGCCGGAGAGGGCTCCGCAAGCAGCCCGGGCGGCCGCTCCTGGCCGCTGCGTACAGCTCTTTACCCGGGCTTGCCGCTCTGGCCCTCGAAATCCAGTTCCTTTCCTAGGGCCCCCCTTCTCCTGGCTCTGGGGCCCAGAGCCCCCTCCACTCCGGAAAGCCCCGCGGGGCCCCCAGACCCTCAGCCTGGGGAGGACGCGCTCTGCTCTGGGCGCTCCCTTCACTGCATGCGGGCAGGGCACACTTGCCGATTTCGGAAACCGAGAAGACATCGTCATTTCCCAGAGCCGCGGAGCCCCCCCCCCCGTCACCTCCCCACGCCTGCCTGAGAGCTCCTGGGGAGGGAGGGGGCGCGGGGCTCGCCTCTGCCGGGGAGTTAGGACAGTGGTTTTGCCTCCTAAGATGTTGCAAGGGACTTCAACGTGAAAGGAGGGTCAACTTGTCTCAATTCGATCCGCGGAGATGAAGATGAAACAGACAGATAACAGATAAATAGCGTGATACTTGAAGAAGGTATGAGGACAGATGGGAGAAAGAGGAGCGAGCTGGGAGAGACAGGCAGCTCAGGGCCAGATAAGATCGACAGACGGGGGGCACCTAGACGAACAGCAGGAGGGAAAGAGAGGAGCCCGGTCTCTTGGATGAAGCTTTTGAACTCGGATCCCCAGTCAGCCTGGAGCTGCCCCTCTGAAAATGGATTGGCCTTTCCTGACGAGTGTAGCGGAGGGGCCTTCGGGGTCAAGCTGCCTGGGCCACAAGAGCACCTGCAGCCGTGGGCCGGATGGGAGCCTTTGGTGTCTGAGGACACGTGGCTGGGCCAGGCGACCTAGAGGGCCCCGCGCATCCGTTCCTGGGTCCTCCTGCTGCTGAGGTCCACGGGAGAGGCTGCCTCCCTGCTTGGGCCAGAGATCAAAGCGCGGGACCAGCAGCAACTTTTGACCTGGACCCTTGTGGCTTCTGACCCTGGCCAGGACTCCTCTCAACCCAGATGAGCTGGGACAGCCCGGCTTGAAGTATACTCAGGGAGGAGATGCCCCCCAAAGAGGAAGTCCAGAGCCCGGAGAGGCTGCATTTGGCCTGAGCAGGAAAGGCATATATGAAGAAGAAGGAAAACTTAGGGAGTGGGCTGTCGGAAGCAAAGGAGAAGTGTGGCTCCTGAGAAACTTCCTCGAGAACCTGTCTGTCCCCACGCGCTGACCCGGATGGAAACCAGCTTTGGTCCGGAACGCAGCTAAAAATGCAGAAAATGTGGTTAGGAACTGCATGACCCCGGTTCCACTGATGGCTGGGGGGAAAAACGGTTTGTATTTCCAGCCGGAATCTTTCTGCTCAACGAACGCGAGGCTCCGGGCATGGAAGGTGAAACTCGGGCTTGTGGAAACCAGTGCCGTTATCCCGGGGAACCGGCTCCGCACGGAGCTGGGTGCGGTGGGGGCCGCCCCGGGGGCTGGGCGCGCGCGGCGCGCTTCGGAGAGCCAGCCGGGTTCAGCACCGCGAACAGCGGTCCCCTCAGCCTCTCCCCCTCCCTCGCGGCCTCGGGACCCTCCTCCTTCTCCTTGCCCCCCCCCCCCGTCCCCTGCTGTCTGGAGATGGGCAGTGACCGCCCCTCCCTCCCGTCCGTACCCCTCCCAGCGCCTCCCCCGCCCGCCCGCGTGCGTGCGCGACTGAGCAGAGGGGCCGCCTGTCCCCGAAGTCCGGGCTTCAGGACCCGGGCGGGTAGGGCCGGCTGCGAGGGTAGCCAAAGGCGCGCGCGGATCTGGACGTTGGGAAGCCTGGGTTAGGCAATGGCTTTGCTGTGTGGCCTTGGGCAAGTCACTCTCCGTCTCTGGGCCCCACTTCCTCCACAATCCGAAAGCAAAATTGGGGCGTTCTTGAGGTCTCAATTACCCCCTTCCTCTTCCCCAAGCCCCAGGGGCTTTTGTTGTGGCGCCAGCACGCGTTTGGATAACAAAAGGCTCCCGTCCGGGGGTTGGGGGAGGGGGGCGGGGGGCGAATGAGCCTGGACTCCCTGTAGCCAAGTTTCCCCGCGCGCCCAAGTCGGCGCGCCCCGCTGGGCGGGCCGAGCCACAGTGGCGCTGAAAATGGCTCATCTGTTGTCTACTTTCTCTGTTTCGCAGGAGCGGCGGCATGGAGGCTCTCACCACTCAGCTGGGGCCGGGGCGCGAGGGCAACTCCTCGCCCACCTCGAAGCAGGAGCTGCAACCCTACTCGGGCTCCAGCGCTCTCAAACCCAACCAGGTGGGCGAGACGTCGCTGTACGGGGTGCCTATCGTGTCTCTGGTCATCGACGGCCAGGAGCGCCTGTGTCTGGCGCAGATCTCCAACACTCTGCTCAAGAACTACAGCTACAATGAGATCCACAACCGCCGCGTGGCCCTGGGCATCACGTGCGTGCAGTGCACGCCGGTGCAGCTGGAGATCCTGCGTCGGGCCGGGGCCATGCCCATCTCGTCGCGCCGCTGCGGTATGATCACCAAGCGCGAGGCCGAGCGCCTGTGCAAGTCGTTCCTGGGCGAGCACAAGCCCCCCAAGCTGCCCGAGAACTTCGCCTTCGACGTGGTGCACGAGTGCGCGTGGGGCTCGCGCGGCAGCTTCATCCCCGCGCGTTACAACAGCTCGCGCGCCAAGTGCATCAAGTGCGGCTACTGCAGCATGTACTTCTCGCCCAACAAGTTCATCTTCCACTCGCACCGCACACCCGACGCCAAGTACACGCAGCCCGACGCCGCCAACTTCAACTCGTGGCGCCGTCACCTCAAACTCAGCGACAAGTCGGCCACAGACGAACTGAGCCACGCCTGGGAGGACGTCAAGGCCATGTTCAACGGCGGCACGCGCAAGCGGACCTTCTCGCTGCAAGGCGGCGGCGGCGGCGGCGCGAACGGCGGGGCGGGTGCGCAGGGGAAGGGCGGTGCCGGCGGCGGGGGCGGCCCGGGCTGCGGCGCAGAGCTGGCCCCCGGCCCGCCGCCGCACAAAGCCCTACGCTGCGGCGACGACGAGGCCGCCGGGCCTCCTGGGCCGCCTCCCCCGCATCCGCAGCGGGGCCTGGGTCTAGCGGCGGGAGCCGGCGGCCCGGCGGGCCCGGGAGGGCCTGGTGGCGCCGCGGGCGTGCGCAGCTACCCAGTGATCCCGGTGCCCAGCAAGGGCTTCGGCCTCTTGCAGAAGCTGCCCCCGCCGCTCTTCCCTCATCCCTACGGCTTCCCCACGGCCTTCGGCCTCTGCCCCAAAAAGGACGACCCGGTGCTAGGCGCGGGCGAGCCCAAGGGAGGCCCGGGCACCGGGAGCGGCGCGGGCGCGGGCGCAGGCGGAGGCGCGGGCGGGCCGGGATCTGGCCACTTGCCCCCGGGGGCAGGCCCCGGCCCGGGAGGCGGCGGCATGTTCTGGGGTCACCAGCCCTCCGGGGCAGCCAAGGACGCAGCGGCCGTGGCGGCAGCGGCCGCCGCGGCCACCGTGTACCCGACGTTCCCCATGTTCTGGCCGGCGGCAGGCAGCCTCCCGGTGCCGCCCTACCCCGCGGCGCAGAGCCAAGCCAAGGCCGTGGCGGCCGCGGTGGCGGCGGCGGCGGCGGCGGCGGCGGCCGCTGCAGGCGGCGGCGGCCCCGAGGCCCTGGACGCGGCCGAGCCGGCCAAGGAGGGAGGCCTGGGCGCCGAGGAGCGCTGCCCGAGCGCGCTGTCCCGCGGGCCGCTGGACGAGGACGGCGCCGAGGACGCGCTGCCGCCGCCGCTGGCCCCGCTGCCGCCGCCGCCGCCGCCCACGCGCAAAGGCTCCTACGTGTCGGCCTTCCGGCCGGTGGTCAAGGACGCCGAGAGCATCGCCAAGCTCTACGGGAGCGCCCGCGACGCCTACGGCTCCGGGGCTGCCCGCGGGCCGGGGCCGGGGCCGGGGCCGGGCGCGGGGGCCGCCGGCGGGTACGTGAGCCCGGACTTTCTGAGCGAGGGCAGCTCCAGCTACCACTCCGCCTCGCCCGACGTGGACACCGCCGACGAGCCCGAGGTGGACGTGGAGTCCAACCGCTTCCCCGACGAGGACGGCGCTCCGGGCGAGGCCGAGCCGGGCGCGCCCAGGGCGCCCAGCGCCGGCGGCGGCGCGGACAACGACCAGCCCGCAGGGCCCCCGTCGGCCGCCTCCTCGGGCGCCGACGGCCCCACGGACTCCCCCGACGGCGGCAGCCCCCGTCCCCGGCGCCGCCCCGGGCTGCCCTCGGCCAGCCGGCCGACCTTTGGGGACTTGGCGGCCGACGACGTGGTGCGGAGACCCGAGAGGAGCCCGCCGAGCGGCGGCTATGAGCTGCGAGAGCCTTGCGGGCCGCTGGGGGGCCCCGCGCCGGCCAAGGTGAGCCCCGCGCCCGCCTCGCTGGGGGCGCCTCCTCGCTTACCCCGCGGCACCACGGGGCTGTGGGGCAGCCGCTGGCCGAGTTAGGGTCGGGAACCCTGTCCCGAGCGGGCGTAGGCGCAGGCGCGGCAGGCCCCGCTCCCGCAGCGCCGTGCAACCCGCCGGGACCTCGCAGGGGGAGGGTTTCGGAAAATCCGGGGGGTGGGGAGGTGGGGAGGTGGGGAGGGCGCGCCCAGGCCTGAGAGACGGGTGTGCTAGGTTTGTGTTGAGTGTGGGGGAGGGGAGGTGGAGACCGCCCGTAACACTGAGAGCGAGAAATAAAAGGGGTCTGGGGGAGGAACGTGGAGCAGAGAAAGGGACCCAGTGCCGGGGAAGAGCGCTTGCGAGGCTGGGCCCGTGGCGCACCCACCCGGAGGGGGGGTCAGGGTCCCGGGGAAGCCGGGCTGGTAGGGAGAGGAGAGGCCGGCGCCCCGCTCAAGCCGGGCCCCAGCAACGCCGGGCCCGGAATCTCCCTCCACCCCAACTCCTTGCTTTCTGAGCCCCTTTGAACTCGGGCCTTGGGAACCGCCGAGTTCCGCCGGGTTCCTTGGTAGGCGGCTGTCCAGACGGCTGGTGGGGAGATGTGGGGGGGCGGGGGACGGCTCCCGGGTTGGCTGGGCCACGGGTTCGGGTCGGGGCTGCGCAACTAAGCCGAAATCGTTGGCTCTTCTGAAAGTGGGTGCGCACACCTGTACATTTCCATCAGGTCCATTAAAACACGAATCATTAGCCGGATGCGAAAGGCGTCATTTATGCGGGGACTCTGGGCGAGGGCTGGCGGGAAGACGCGGGAAAGGAGGCGGGCGAAGGTGGGTGGCGGGTGCCGCTGGGAACAGGCAGCCCTGGCTCGGCTCGAGAGCCGCTTTGTCTTTCTGATGACCCCGAAGCTGCAACGGGCGGAGCGGCCTCGGAGGGCGCGGGGCGCTCGGGTCCGCGCGCCAGCCGACCTGCGCCTCCCTCTCGGCCGCGGCGCGGGGCCGGGCGGCCCCGATCCGCTTCCAGCGCCCCCCTAACCGCCTGTCATTTTCGGCCGCCGCAGGTGTACGCGCCAGAGCGGGACGAGCATGTGAAGAGCGCGGCGGCGCTGGGGCCCGCGGCCTCCTACCTCTGCACCCCCGAGGCCCACGGTAACGCCCCCAGCCCCCCTGCCGAGGTCGCTGGCCAATGCGACGTGGGGACCGCGGGCGGAGGGCCGGGGCCGGGGCCGGGGCGGGGGGCGGGGGGAGGGGTGGGCTGCGAGGGGAGCCGAGAGGAGGAAAAAGGGAGAGGCAGAGAGAGCAAGAGAAAGGGGGCGACGGACAGAAAAATAAAGGGAACTCAGCGGAACTCCCAGTAACTTCCACCGTTTGGTCACTTAACGAACCGCCCTGTCCACCGCACATAAACACGCTCCCGTACACCTCACACACTGGGTCAGATCCTTTTTAAAATCCCGCCTGGCACCTCACTCATTCAGCAGTGCTTGGGCCCCGAGGTCCTCCGGGGGCAGGCCGCGTGAGGGCGCAGGGTGCGGGCGCTCGGCCGCGCGCTTGGATGCCCCCGAAGCGCCAGGCGGCCGCGGCCCGGCCCCGGGGTGGGGGGGCCCTGCCCTAGCGCCGGGCCCCAGGGGCTCGAAGAGGAGGGGCTGAGGGCCTCGCGGATCCGGGCAGGCCAAGCCCCGGGAAGGATGCCTCCCCCGCTGCCACCACCCCGCGCGGGGGGCCGCCTGGGCCGCGTTCTCGGCGGGAGCGGCGTAGGCAGAGCCGGCGGCCACGCGCGCTCGCGGTGCCCCAGTATCTGCGCGCGATGTAGGTCGCTCGTCCCTGGTGGGCTCGGCAGCTCGTCTTGTTCTTTTCCGGGGGGCTGGGGAGGGGGCGTGGAGCGCGAGAGGAGCAGACCGCGCGCGGGGGAGGGGGTGCCCGGCCCAAAGCCTGAGGGTGCAAGCCCAGGCGCACAGCCGGGAACCAGCGGCGGCCACGACACTTTTAATTAGGGCTCGGGCGCCCCGACCGTGGCAGCTCTGGCCGTATCGGGGTCACGGTTTCTTTGCTTCTCCTTGAAACTCGGTTTATTGCCTTTAAGAACCAGATAAGGAAGACAATCACTCGACCGCCGACGATTTGGAAACGAGGAAATCCTATCCAGACCAAAGGAGTATCTCCCAACCAAGTCCCGCAAATACAGACCGAGGTGAGCCCTAGGACCCCTGCGCGCCAACCGCACCCGCACCCAGAAGCTGGGGCCCAGGTCGCGCAGGTCCCACCGGCCAGGGCTTGCGAGAAGGGCTTTCGATGGACTGTAAGCGGCTGCTGGGCCCCGCGTGCGGCTGGCGGATACACATTTAAACAGCGCGCGCGAGGTGCAGGCCAGGTTTCCTGAGCTGTTTTCCTCCTTAGTGGGTTTGGGGCTCTTCCGGGTAAAAGAAAGGGATAGTGTACTAAAAAGAGATGACAGACACCATCACCCACATGAAGTAGGTCAGAGAGCACTTCCTGCCCTAAGATAGCCTATGTGAGTCCACTGTCCTTCAGTGGGTCACTCTCTAAAATGAGAGCTACACCCCTAAACTGATAGCTTGGAGGGTAGGTGGCACTCCATACCTGTAACTGTCTCTTCTAAAGGCGGAAGATGTGGAGCAGCTCCTTGACGTAGCACAGATCCCGGCAGCTCACCCTTCCCCTCCCAAGGCCTCTCCCAGCGTAGAATCCCTCTAACCTGCCCTTGTATCTCAGGTGAAGATGGGCTCACCCTGGATGTCACAGGAACTCAGCTAGTGGAGAAAGATATCGAGAACCTGGCCAGAGGTGAGGTTAAATCTGTGAAATGGGAGTACACTCTGCTTGGGGTAGAGGCACCCTTCTTGTAGGGGAGTGTGTGGGAAGACAGGACTCTTGGAGAATCAGTTTTCTTTTTTCTTTCTTTTTTTTTGGGGGGGTCAATTTTCATTGAGTAGAAAGGATAATCCTCTGGGCACTTGATGCTGGCATAGAGGTAGAGGGGAGGGGAAGGGGGAGGGTGTGAGTGAACCAGACCCCTAGAGGTTCGTTAGAAGTTTGGATTCCCGAGATTGGCCTGTGTGAAGAGCACAGTAAAAGAGAGAAGTGAGTAATGATCCTCAGAACTTGATGCGTGTGACAATCAGATAGGGCAATTTGTGTCTCCCAAACTCACTGGAAGACCGGACTTTTTCTAAAAAGCAAGGTGGAAAGGAGGCATTTATTTTAGGAATATCTGAGAGGTTAAGTTTTTCCTGGAATTAACATATAACCACCCCCAACCAAATGCACCCTAAATTGGGGGGGGGAATAGAGCCTTTCAGAATGGGATCCTGGGTTGCTGCTTCACCTTCATGGGGGAGAGTGTGGCTTGAGGCACAGAGGATAGAAGCCTCTGACCCCACTTTGCTCCTCTACCTCCCATTTTTGTGTTTTCTCAGCACCTGCTTGGGGCGGGATTTCTTAGAGAGCCTCCACATAGGGAGGACTCTGATCCCAATAGCTCCAAGGTCAGGGCAGCCCCTGCCATCCATCCCTCTGTAGCTGGTTCTGAGGGCATAAGTGCTTTCCACATCCACCTGCTATCCATCACCCTGCCCCCAACCAGCCCAGATATGTGCTTGCAAACTGGTGTGGGAAGGGGGAGAAGCATTGATGGTCTTCCACTCTTCCAAGTCACAGATTTTATAAGGTATACAATTACCTTAAAAATCATTGGTGCTTTATATGAGAGCTCGTAGTATGGATTTGGGGTCCTGGGACCCCCTGAAATGGTGAACAAACTGTTGTGAGTACAGGTATTTTTCCAGGGCAGGGATCCAAGTCTTTGACCAGATTTACCCAGCTCCTATTATTGAAGGGAGGGATTAGGTGTGTCATTTGGAGGGGTAAATCAAGTCCTGGGCCAGCCTCTAAGGTTAGGGAGTTAAGAACAACTTAAAGCAGATACCATGCTGGTTAGTGCCTGGAACCAGGGCCTAGAAGCCCAACATGGCATCTACAACCCTGAATTTTAATTCTCCTGGGCAACCTATCTCCTGGCCAACACCTCCCCCCACACACACACCCAAATCCTATGGAAGCAAATGGAAAACCAGTGTAGAGGGCCTCTACCTCCTGGCCCCACCGCTCCACAACTCCCACCTCAGGGCTCATGGCCAGAGCAGGACCTCCAGGACCTTTGGGGGGTGGGGAGCTGAGTCCCGCACTCCCCACCCACCTTTACCTCCCACTCTCCTCCCACCCCCTACCCCCACAGACGAATTGCAAAAACTGCTCCTGGAGCAAATGGAGCTCCGCAAGAAACTGGAGCGAGAATTTCAGAGTCTCAAAGGTACCCCCTTCCTGACCCACCTCACCCCACTTCAGCATGAGAGCCTTCTTTCTGCACACCGGGACCCCGGGACAGGCAGCTGCCCAGCACCCTCCCTTTCCCGGGTTTCCCGGCTAGGCCCCGAGCCCGCAGGGGTGGGGGTGGGAATGGGGAGCGTGGGGAAATGGGGCCGAGGGAGGGGGCTGTGCGTCACAGCTCTCACTTAATCAATTTGCACAGATAATTTTCAGGATCAAATGAAGAGGGAATTGGCTTATCGAGAAGAAATGGTGCAACAGCTGCAAATTGTCAGAGGTAAGACGGGAGTCAGGTGAGCGCGCGCACGGGGCCGTAACTGCCTCTCAGTCTGGCAGAAGCCTCAATGTTGGCTCAGTCATTTGGATTTAAATTGAAGGTAATTTAACAATTATTTTTTTTATTTAATATCCTTTGTATACTCTGATTAGCCTCAGAATGGCAAGCGAGCCCAGCAAACGGCTTGCAGGCATCATTACATGGAGTGATTGAACTTCTTATCGCGGCAATTTCCATGGTTTCTAAATTAAAAATCGAGGCGTAAAATTACCTGGGAAGTAATGCCTAAGTTTGCTTTAATTTTGGTTAGATCCGTCTGCCTTTAAGCGCCAGCCCAGGCTTTTTCCTCCCTCCGCCAGGCTGCAGTTTGGAGCACTGATACTCCTTCCTCCATCTCCCGGATTTGTTTCTTGGAGGGGCTGAGCGCTGGGGAGAGGGTGAGGCGCGGGCTGTGACCCCGGCCGGCTGGGCTGGAGGGTGGTCTCATTTCCTCACCGGCCCCTCCCCATGTCTTCCAGACACTCTGTGTAACGAACTGGACCAAGAGCGGAAGGCGCGCTATGCCATCCAGCAGAAATTAAAAGGTGCGGATGCCGAGGAACAAAGATAGGACTGTTGCCAGGCTCTGGCTGTGCCACTGAATGAATGAGTGAATGAATGAACGAATGGATGGATAGATGAATGAATGAATGAACGAATGATGGGCGGATGAATGGATGGTGAATGAGCGAATGAATGAGTGAATGAGTAAATGGCGGGCTGTGAGGGGGAAGGCCAGGTCTACCTAGATCAAAAGCTGAGAGGAGGAAAATGGGAATTCTTTTTTGTGATGGGGAAATAATTCTAGAACGATAGAATGGGTATTAAGAACCGCTTGAGCCCCTGGCATTGGGAAATCCGCCTTGGGATCCAAATCTAGCCGTGGGCAGATTGACTTACCGCTTTCTGTGCCTCAGTTTCCTCTTCTGTATAATGGGGCTACTGAACCAGAGCAGTGGTTCTAAATCGCCCAGTTTTCTCACCTACACTCCTGCCTTTTTCTGATCCGTTGAGAACCCCTGAGCCCGAAGGGGGTGAGTGGCACCCGGGGGTGGGCAGGGGGTCGAGTGGACCAGCCCGTGGGCCACGCCGGCGAGGTGCCCACCTCGGCCTGCCCGACTGTCTTTCCAGAAGCCCACGACGCCCTGCACCACTTCTCCTGCAAGATGCTGACGCCCCGCCATTGCACTGGCAACTGCTCCTTCAAGCCCCCGCTGTTGCCCTAGGGCCGGCCCGGCCGCCCCTGCGCCCTCAAGCCATGCTGCTCTCCTCCTGGAAATGCCCGCGGCCGCGGCGGCCCAGAGCGAGGAACAAGCCATTCGGACCCGCCCGATGTACAGACAGCCTCCCGCCCGCCCGCCCGCCCGCCCGCCCCCCGGGCGCCTCGGCCCAGGGCCCCTTCTCCGTTTCCAAGTGTAAATACCACCTCGCCCCACCGTTGAACTCCAGGGCACCGGACCTCATGGGGTTAACTGGACCGCAGGGGGTAAGATGGGGAAGGGGGGCCTCCCCCGCCCCGCTCGGCCTCGGACCCCCGATTGTGTACACGATGTAGCAAAACTTCGCTGGCGCAGGCCCGGCGCTCCCCCGTCCCGTCCACTTCTGAAACTTGTTCCTGACGACACAGTGGCTATGTGCAATGGATATAAATGTACTGTGAGTCTCTCTTGGTTCCCTATTGGGTTCCGTTTTATTTATGCTGTAAGTTATTTTGCTCCCTTCTCCTGGACCTATTTCCAGCCCCGTTTTGCATTTCCCCTTTGGGTTTGGTTTTGTCTATGTTTCCTTGTTAACCTCTTGATGTAACAGCACTTTAAAAAGGGCAACAACTGACTCACGAGATGGAGACCACCTTGAGCCTGTTTGGGGAGACCACCCTGTATCCGTGACTTTTGTTTTGTTTTTAATAAAAAAAAAGAAAAGAAAAGAAAAAGAAAGAAATCTGTCACTTCCTGGGGCTGCATAGGTTGGTGGGCGGGGATGGGCTGAGCGATGCGCAACAGGTGCAGCTGGAAGGCCGCAGGTGCGCGTTCTGGGGCGCAGGGGCTGGGAGTCGCCCCACTCGGTAGGGCAGCAGCGAGTGCCTCGACCTCCCTGCCAGTCATTCAGACACACCGAGTTGGCCCCACAGGCCACGCTCTCCCCACTTTTGGGGCTCTCCCCTGAGCCTCTCGGCCCCGGGGTAAGAGGACAAGGCTGGCTCCTGGGTGGCAGGGTCCCCCACTCTTCCCCGGAGCTCTGCAAGCGCCAGGGTTTGCTCGGGCCCACTCCCACGCCTGCCCCACTGCGGGAGTAACCGCCAGCGCTCTCGGGGGCTGGACGCAGCCTCCCGAGGGATTGCACGGCGCCTTGCCCCCTGCCGCGCAGCCGGGTTCACCCCAACTGCCAGGAGGCGCGGGTGCTGCGTGCCCAGCAGGATGCGCTGGGGCGGGGCGGGAGGGGGGCGAGGTAGGTAGGGAGGCCCTCGGTGGGCCAGGCCTAGAAGGGCAGGGCGTGACTCCGCATTGGGGCACAGATGTCCTCGGGCCTGGCCTCCTCTTCCCGTGCCGGGCGGGCCCTGGCAGTTTTTACTGTCCTGTCCATTTCCGTCCGAAAGGGTGTGGGGACCTGGAGCCAGGTGAGGCCCGTCTATGCTGAAGTCATGTGGTCTCGACTGCTGGGATGAGGGGGTGTCAGGGTGTGTGTGACAGGGATGGATGGCATCCTGGCCCAGCTGATGAGGCCTCACCTTGCTGCTGGGCCCCCATCGGCCTCAGTTTCCCCAGTGCACCTGCCGGGTAGGCTACGGATAAAGGATGCAAACTGCAGCGCGCTTTTTGGAGCGGGGCGCGGGGAGTGTGCTTGGAGCCGCAAAGCGCACCGTGCTGGGGGATCATTCAGCCCTGGCTCCCAGTTTCACCTCCTGGGCTGACTAGCAAGGGTGCTGTGTCTCTCCCTTTATTCTTCTAGGAAGAATAAAATAGCACTCGGGCCTCCCCCCCACCCACCCCCACCACCCCGGGCGCGCGAGACCAGCCTCGACGCCGCCGCGCTCCGACATCCCGGGGACCCCCGTGCGTGCGCTTCTCCGGTCCCCGCCTCGGGGTCCGCCCCTCGGGCCTGGGGGCCCTGGGCTGCGCGGTTCCAGGAAGTCTGGGGGGGCGTCTGGGGGCCCCGGGGCCGGCGGCGAGCAGGGGCCGCACGGCGGAGGCGGGGAAGGGGCGCAGGCGGCGAGCCGGTGCGCGCGGAGGAGGCGGGGAGCGGGTCGCCGGAGCCCCCCGCGCTGGGGCTCTGAGCCCTCCGCCAGGCCCGAGATGTGCCGAGGGCTAGTCCTAGAGAGGACAGGACAGAGATAGTGGCGCTGCGAGGTGTCGCCCTGGGAAGAAGCCACCTCGGGAGACGCGATCTCCAGCAGGAACCCTCCAGGGCGCGGGAACGTTCCCTTTGGAACGTTCCCACCAGATCAGGTCCCCGCTGTGCCCACGGGGAAACTGAGGTCGCCAGAGGAAGTGACTTGCATCCTGGGGCGTGCCAGGGCCGGGAGGTGCTCGGATGCGCCCAGCAGCGCAGGTGTTGGCCCCCCAGGGTGACCACGCTCTCCCTTCCCAGTAAAATGGGAATTACGGTTACCACCCAGGCCCGTACACAGGAGCCTCGCAAATACTCCTTTTCACCTTCCCTTTCCGAATTCCCCCCGAAGTGGAGGGGGAAAAAAAGCCCTAGACAGCTGGGGCTCGCCGGAAAGGGCACCCCATCCGGGGCCGGAGTCTCTGCAGATTGAAGGTGTAGGCGGATCCGACCCAAAAAGCTTTGTCGCAAAAACCCTCCTGGGTTCCTCGTCCCTTCTGAAGTGGTTTGTTCTCCCCCAAATGTTAATAACCAAACGATTGGTATGGATGTAATTATCAATAATTATACGAATTATTGCTGATTGCGGGGCTCGTAGCTACTTTAATTAGTTTACCAGATTCTAATTAAGTTAAATGAAACATTAATAGGGAAAATATGCTTTGAAAAAAAAAAAACCCCCGCAGGATTTTTTAAAAGTCTGTTTCTCGCCACAACGTTGCCACCTTGCGACGCAATTTAGGTATTACAGCCAACGTCCGAAGGCCCCCCCAGACTAAGGAGCCTTGTCTTAGGGAGAAAAGGTGGGGTTTGGGGAATTGCTAGAGGGCTGTGGAGCACAGAACGCCTCCTGGGTGTTCCGTCGAGGTGTTTGGTTTCACCCTCCTGGCTTCAGGAGGGGCCCACAGGAGGTGCTGCTCTGGAGTCCAGGGTCTGGGATAAAGAACCAGGCAAACATGCCCCCTCAACCTCAGACTCCCTTTTTTCAGCAGAGGAACTCACCACTACTAGTTAAGGGATGTAGTGAACTGGTCTATATCCTCACCTATCCCAGCAAATCCAAGGTGAGAAACTGAGTGAAGCTGTAGGCCTTGGTGGGGACCGCATCCAGTGGTTTGATTTTTCACAGCGCCCCCGGCCCCCAGACTATCCCTGCCTCTATTTATCCTGCAAATCTGGGTAACCTGTCGGCCAAACAAAACCAGATAAAACACAGCTGCAAGACCTCTGGATTCCTGGGACTAATCCCTCTGCATTCCTGTGGCACTTGGTTCATAAAACTAAGGGGGTGTTCACCTCTCCGGGTTATCCTTGGTGTGTGTGTGTGTGTGTGTGTGTGTGTGTGTGTGTGTGTGTGTGTGTGTGTTTTCCATAGGACTGTAAGTATCCTGGCAACCAGGGACACATCCTGCTCTTCCTTGTGATCTCCAGCACAGGTCCCAGTGTATCACAGTAGCTTAAAGATGTCTAAATGAAGGCGTTCCAACTTTGTGGTTCATCTGGGTGCTGGAAACGCCCGGGGGGAGGAGTCCCTAGGTGCTTCTGGACAACAGCTATTGGGAGGCAGTTAGCTCATTTGCATAATATTAATAAAGCACAAGTTTGCTGCTCAGATGATCCTTCATCAATAGGATTATTTGCATGGGGGGGCAGGTGTCTGGTAAGAGACTGTGAGCCTAGGAAAACTTCCTTCCTCTTCCAGCTGTGTCCCACACACTGCTTCATTCCTTCACATTTTCAAGTTCACCACGCATGTACCTGTCCACCTAGTCCCAGCTACCCCCATCTAAAGTGTAGCCTCAATCCTTTGCAAAAGGATCCTTGAATTCAGAACACCAGCAAGAGCGGGACTGGACCCATAGGCTCTTTCCGTTAATTCTAAATCGCTTTATCTCCCACTCTCTGCCTTCAAAGGTGGCCTAGTGTTTGTTTAGGAGCACAAGCTCTCTAGCCAGATTTCCTGGGTCTCAATCTCTTCTCTGCCATTTACTACTTGTGTGACATTGGGTAAGTTGTGGGATCTCTCTGTGCCTCAGCCTCCTCATCTATAACAATAACAGGAGGCCGGAGAGGGTACCCAACCTCACAGAACAGTGCAGAGCCAGGAAAGTCAGCCAAGTCTCTGGCTTTTCCAGGACTAAGAATTGCCCGTGTTTCCTCCTCTCTGCTCCAAGACAATGGGGTCATACCAAGAAGAATGACAAGTTTCCTTAAGAGGAGAGAGAGAGTCACGCCAACATTGGTCCTTTCCTTGTTTGGCATCCCAGAAGGGGACTTTGAGAACTACTCACCCAATGACCCAAGTTCTTCCTAAGAACCAGGCGTATGGGGGCGGGGGGGGGGGAGAGGAAAGGGAAACCAAACTTGTCTCCCAACTCCATGCACTGGAGCCCGTGAGCAGACAAGGTGCAATGAGAGGTCCCACGGACCCCCCCCCCCCTTCTCGGCTGTTACCTGGAGACGATCATTTCACCTCCACTAAGGGAACAGAAATGGATCCGTGATGGAACGCTGCTTGGCAGCTCGCAGCGCCCGGGAGAGGCCCCGCCGCTGCCCTGGGGCCCTGGAGGCCACCAGGGGCTCCCCCGGGCGGCTGCGGGCACCGCTGGGCCTTCCACGCGTGTGCTCAGGCACCAGCAAAGCACGCGCACCAACATTTTCCAACTGGAAAGAAACGGGTGTTTCAAAAACACATTGATAAAGTCGGCGCTGCAAATCTGAACTTTCCTGGACTTGGCCCCCTTCCCATTTTACTAAGTAGGACGGCGCTTTTTTTTTTTGCATCCATCACGCGGGGGCAGGGGCCCCGCTCTTTCCAGGGCCTGCGCAGGGCCTCGCTGCAGCCACTTACTAGCACGATCGTGACCCGGGGGCTTTACCCCCCAGGGTCTTCTGTAAA